CCATGCCATTCCTTCCATTTTGCCAGTATATGTTGTTATGTGCCATCGAGTCGCCTGTGTACAACAGTCCTAAACCTTGTTCTATCCTGTGCCAATTTTTTTGTTTCTGACACAGCCTACCCCTATTACCCCAGCAACTGAATCAATCCATCTTATTGAGGGACTTCCTCTCCTGCATTGTCCCTCTACCCTCCTAAGCATGATGTTCCTCTCCAAGGACTTGTAATATGTCCAAAGTAGGTCAGACGAAGCTTCAGAATTCTTGCTTCCAAGGAGCAGCCTGATTTTACCCTCTGTAGGACAAACGTGTTTGTTTGCTTAGCAGTCCATTGTACATTCAATACTCTTCTCCAGCACCAAGTTCAAAGGCATCAATTTTCCTTCTACCATCCCTAGTAATCCAGTTCTGATGTATAGTAAGTAACCGCAAAGACTATGGCCTAGATCAGGCACAGTCTAGTCTCCAGATTGATATCAATGCAATTAATCTTTTTATTTCCTGGCTGCTGGTACAGAGAGTGTTGATTGTGGAGCCAAACAAACTAAAGCTGTTAACCATTTCAATCTCTTCACATCATGATGCTGTCAATTGACCTAGTGGTGAGAACCTTTGTTTTCTTGATGTTGAGCTTCAATCAATATTGAAGACTATAGTCCTTGACCTTCTGCAGCAAGCACTTCAGATCTTCCTCAGCTTCAGCAAGCAGGGTTGTATCATCTGCATAACACAGATTATTGATGAGTCTTCCTCCAATTCTAATGCATCATTTCTCCTCATATAGAGTCCAGCCTCCCGGATAATCTGTTCTGCATATAGATTGAAAAGGTATAGAGATAAGACACATCCTTGGTGTACACACTTACCAGTTTTGAATCATGCTCTGTTCTGATGACTGCCTCCTGGTCCAAGTGTTATTGTTGTTGTTGTTGTTATGTGCCGTCACATAAATAGGATCAAGTGTTCTAGGATTCCCATTCTTCTCAGAGTTAGCCACAGTCCGTTGTGTCAAATGCCTCTGCATAGTCAATGAAACACAGATAGAAATTCCTCTGGTACTCATGCTTTCAGCCAAGATCCATCTAACATTACTTACAATGTCCCTAGTACCACAGCCTCTTCCAAACCCAGCCTGCACTTCAAATTAAGACAGACTAGGAAGAAGTATTGGCCATCCACTTCCAAAATATCAGGCCTTCGAAAACCCTGTGTACAACACAGCAAACTTAGACTAGCAGATATGGCAACTGAGGCTGAGCCCTCAAGTATGGAAACAAAGGGAGGAGGAACAGCCAGACACTAGTGATTGGAACATGAAATGTGAGAACTATGAATGTAAGAAAATTAGATATTGTTAAGGAAAATGTTTTTGTTGTTGTTGATTACCTTCAAGTCGAGAATGACTCATAGTGACCCTATGAACAAAAGGCTTAAATGGAACACATAAATATTAATATACTAGGTATTGGTGAAGTGAGAGATTGGCATGGGGCATTTTGAGTCATACAATCATATGTTCTATGCTGAAGGTGAAAAGGTAAAGAAAGATTGGGTTGCTTTCATAGTTAAAAAAAGTCATTTCAAGATCCATCTTGAAATACAATATTGTGAGTGACAGGATAATATCCATACAAGGAAATCCAGTGAATACCACTATCATTCAGATATATGCCAGTATCAAGTACTTCTATATTTGTGTTCCACTTCTTCCTTAACAATGTCCAATTTTCCTACATTCATACTTGTCACATTCCATTTACCAATCACTAGTGTATATTTGCAACTGTTCCTCCTCCTTTGTGATTCCCATTATGAGGGTTCAGCTTGTGGTATCATATCTGCTAATCTACTCTAACTGTGCTCTATTATACATAGGGTTTTCAAAACCCTGTATTTCAGACATGGATGGCCAATCTTTTTCCCTAGTCTGTCTTAAGTTGGACACTCAGCTTTAGAACAGTATCTGACAGACAAGCATTTTACCCAAAATAGCAGATGAAAGACCGTTTTCCATTATATAGAGAAGGGATCTGGTGCTGCCCCCCCGCCCTTTGCTTTGTGTTCCCACTCCTGTCCTGTCCTGTCCTGTCCTGCTAGCATTGTGCTCAGTTCCTTCTCCTTGCCCCTCCAGTGTCTCCCTCCCTCTTTCTCCCAGCCAACCCTAGTATAATAGTTCAGGTCTCTGGACCTATGTCCATCCATTTCCTCTCCACTCCCCTGTGATGTAGATGTTCCTGGTGCAGGCAACCTTTCACATCTGGCTGGCATTGCCAAACATTTTTCCCCAGTCTGTAGAGTTTTTCACTCTATTGCAGAAAGTTTTGAGGCACACAGGGATTTGATTTTTATGAAGGTCTCATTCCTCAATTTTTATCCTCTACTGGTTTTCCATTTTCTGCTGTTTGAAAACCCATTTATGCAATAGCTAGCATGTACAGTTATGTTAGTTTGAGGACTAAGGTGTGCCTGATCCAGTCCATGATATTTTCAATCGCTTGTTATGTTACTGAGAGCTGGACAATTCATAAGTTTGATAGCATTTATATCTTTTAACTGTGGTGTTGAAGAAGAGTACTGAATGTCCCATCAACTGCCAAAAGAACAAATATGCCTTGGAGAAGGTATATCCAAAGTGTTCCTTGGAGGAAAAGATGATAGTTTTTTCCCACATATTTTGAGCATATTGCTAGGAGAGGCTATTCCATGGATAGGGATATAATGCTTGGAAATGTGGAGGGATGGCAAAAGAGGAAGATCCTCAGCCAGGTGGGTTGGCACAATCTCTGCAACAGTGAAGTCAAGTGGACATGAGTCTTACTCAAATTGAAGGCACCTAACAATAACAGCAGCAGTGCTTCTAAATTTGTTCTCTTTTTTTCCTCTTAAGATCTTTACAGTTTTGGATTTTACTCGTAGGTCTCTGATGCACTTCCAATTTATTTTTGGGTATGGTGTGATATGTGGACCTTGCTTACATTTTCTCCACGTAGATGTCAAGTTTTGCCGGGACTTTGTTAAAGAGGCTGTAATTTCCCCCATTTAATGGGTTTTGTTTCATTTTTAAATAATAGCTGACCATAGATAGAATCGAGAACTCAGCCATCAATCCATCTATCACATTGATCTGTCTGTTGTGCTAACACCATACTATTTTGATTGCTACAGCTGTGAAGTAGGTTTTGAGATCAGGAAGTGAGATGCATCCTACTTCATTTTCATTTTTCAAAAGAGCTTTAATTATTCGGGTTCTCTTTCCTTCTCAAATGAAACAGGAAATTTCTTTTTCCTGTCTCCTTGAAAATGATGAATTCTTGATGTATTCAGCTGCTGACTAATAAATCTCCAGTTTGAAAAAAATCTACTAGTCATTCCATGGAAAAAAGATTTAACAATCTAAGAAACCCTAATGAACAGTTCTATGTTTGATGTGGTCAACTGAGTCAGAATCAATTGAATGACACACAAGAACAATGCCTAGTGACACTGAATATATTTTCATGTACTTGTTGCCCAATTAAATGGAGTTTTGGTTACCTACTGGTAGAGGGTAGTATTACAGACCCAAAGGCATATTTTTCAAATCCACCAGCTACTCCATGAGGGAAATAATGGACAATCTCATCCCATACCATTTACAGACTCTGAAAACCCACTAAAGCGTTCACTATGAGTTGATTCTGACTTGATAGCAATGAGGTTTTGAGTTGACCATTTGAACGTCCTTTTTGGTGAAATTTCTATTGAAGTTCTTTGCTTAATTTTTAAATTAGGTTTTGTGACTTTTAATTAAGTTTTAGCAATATTTTTTGCTTTAAATATTAGACCCCTATTAGATATTTAGGGAGCTTTCGTGGCAGAGTGGGCAAGGAATTGTGCTGTCAAACCAAAGGCAGATGGTTTGAATCCACCAGCTGCTCTGTGGGAGAAAGATAGGCCATCTCCTCTCCTGTGATTTACAGCCTCTGAAAACCTGCTGGAAGGTCAGCTAAGAGTTGATTCTGAATTGACCACACATAACAACATCAGATATATGATTTCCCAAAATTTTCTCCCAATCTGTAGGTTATGTATTTACTGTTTAAAGTCTTTGAGCAAAAAGTATTGTGCTGGTGCAAGGTCCTGTTTTTCTATTTTCTTTCACTATTAATATTTTTGTTGTCATACCTGACAGCCCACAGTAGTAATTCTTAAAGTACATAGAATACAGAAACAGCACAATAGCTACCCCAACTGGAGATTGCTGTGGTGGTTGTTGCATGCTGTCAAGTTGGAACTGACTCATAGCTGATCTCCAGTGGGTTTTCAGAGGCAGTAATTGCTTGGGGAGTGATTGCCCATCCTTCTCTCATGGAGCAGCAGCTGGTGGATTTGAACAGCATGGCTTTGTAATTATAACATAGCTTCTTACCATTAGGACACCAGAGCTCCCTAACTAGGGGTGGATAGGCAAACTTCTTTTTAGGCAGTTTTATCCCTGAATTTGAGGTTGTTGCCTTCAGTATTGAACTTACTCCTCAAACTTTCATTTGTATAGTGTTGTGACACAAAATCCCCAACCCCATTTGTGCATTTCTAATTATTCTTATGAGCTCTAAAATTCAACTAATAGTGATTATTACTCTCCTTTATAAACAAAATACATACAGCATATTATAAATTTTAGTTTATTCTGAATCTGGCGTTGAGTAATCCTAAAGACAATTCTGTAAAGGAAACAGGCTTGTGTTCAAATTCTTATTTTACAACACACTGTGTGTGCTTTGACATAGCTTCTGTGTTTAAATTTCCTTGTCTGTAAAATGAGTATCTGTCTAATAAGACTATTTATAAATAAAGAGTTAATGCATGTAAATGTCCAGTAATTTAACAAGTGCTCATTAAATGATAGCTAGAGTTGTTTGGCCTATCAATTTTCAGTTTGTATCGGGTAGATTTGTGAGAAAGAGTCAGATAGAAAGGTGAGAAACTAATCCTCTACTCTTGTTTTCTCTTCCTTATGCAGGTCCTTGGCATATAAAGACCCTGAACTTTCCTCTCAGACCAAACCCAGTGGCTTACCAACTAATCAGAGCCACTGTGGTTTACCGTCATCAGCTCTACCTAGCTCACTTCCATTTCTCCTGCTTTGTGAAGCCTTGGGTCCAGAAAAACCCAACCAACAATTTTCCTTCTTCAAGAGGAGGTTCCTCAGAGCCTTCCCTTCTTTCTAAAGCTTGGCTAGAGATGGACATCACAGAACATGTTCAAGGAAAGCTTTGGAATCATAAGGGGCGAAGGGTCCTAAGACTCCATTTTATGTGTCAACATCACAAAGCTAGTGAGATGCTTGAGCTCCAGTGGCATGGGACTTCATATATGGATGTTGCTTTCTTGTTACTCTATTTCAATGACACCAATAAAAATATTCAGAAGCCCATATTTCTCCCCGGAAGCCTACAGGATGTTACGGAAAGGAAATCCTCTCATCTACTGCGAAAGTCTAGGCAAGCAGGCAGCATTGCCTCTGAGGTTCCTGGCCCCTCTTGGGGACATAATGGGCCTGTGCAGAACCAATGTTCCCTTCACACTTTCCAAGTCAGCTTCCACCAGCTGGGCTGGGATCACTGGATCATTGCTCCCCATCTGTATACCCCAAACTACTGTAAGGGAGTCTGCCCTCGAGTGCTGCGTTATGGTCTCAATTCTCCGAATCATGCAATCATCCAGAACCTCATCAATGAGCTGGTGAACCAAAGTGTTCCTCAGCCCTCCTGTGTCCCTTATAAATATGTTCCCATTAGTATCCTTCTGATTGAGCCAAATGGGAGTATCTTATACAAAGAGTATGAGAATATGATTGCTCAGTCCTGCACATGCAGGTAGCAGCAAAAATACAACTAGCTCGGGTTTCCCACGAAACTTCAGAAAGGTTAATAAACAATTATCAGTGTAAATATTTCAAGTGTTCCTTTGACCAATCCATAGGTCCTATTTATCACTTTAAATATAGTTACTCAATTCTTTTATCTAATTTGGTATGAGGATCATTTTTATGAAGAGTTCACAATCCCTTAGCATAAGTCAGTACTTTTTGACCATTAGTCAATCTTAGCACTTGGGTAAGATGTTCCTTTGGAGAGGTTTTCTATTTTCTTGTCATTGTGTCAAAAGTTATTAGTCTATGTAATAAAATTATCTTAGGCCTAGGAAAGGTAGATTCTTCCTGGTGTCAATTTTTTTGAAACTCTTTAGAGGATTTTTGGTAAAGAAAGAACTTTAGGATTTTATACTGCTTTTCCTTGCGTCCTATACCCTAGAAACTAGTACCTAACATAAAAGACTACCAGTTTCTGTATTTTTAAATTTGTAAATTTCTGTATTCTGTAAATTTAAAATAACTTCTCTCACAGGAACTGGAAAACTTATGGCTAACAGTCTTCACAGACATCTTTGAGAGGAACAGAAGGATGGAAGTCTTAAGTTGTCAATGCTTTTCCTCCTATCTGAATCTGGGAATAATTGAATTCTTTCTTGTACAAGGATGAGGACAGCAACCTTAAGACCAAGAATAATATTTATGGAGCTATCTGAGATTACAGACCCACAGCATCTGTGGGGAAGAAGAGGGGAAGACGGGCTACTATAGCTAATCAGTTATTTAGGAGGGTATAATTTTAAAATTTATACGAAGTGTTAGGTTTCAGAGTATTCTGTTTTATATAACAAATCTCTGCTAATTATCTCTGAACATTCCCTGGTAACTCAGAAATTGGGAATTGGATTAACTCCAGGGGTCGAAGTGGGGGATAAAATGTTATATCTAGGAAATTTGAGAAGCTATTCGGGATGGGTGTATCAGATGCGGTGCGGTTGGCGCAGGATAGAGCAGGGTTTAGAGCTGTTGTGCATAGGGTCGCTATGAGTCGGAAACGACTCGATAGCACATAACAACAAACAACATGGGAGAAGAGTTTAGAAGCTAAGGCCTGGGATAGACAAAACTTTGGGATTTCCTGCTTTTTGTTCAACATGACTCTAGAATGGATCTCTGAAGGGAAATGAGCTTGCTATCTTTGAGAATCATATGGCTCTACTTTGAACTGAATAATGCAGTTGGATTTCTTTTTACTCATTCTCAACTGTTGTAAATAAATTTTGTTAGAGAATCTTGAATGCTTTGGAGAGTGGAAAAAAGATGTAAAGAAATTTATTTTCAGTGATGCCTTCATATATGACCCTATAGACTGGGCCAAGCACCCAATTCTAATATAATGAGCTGGAGGCTCTTCAGAAGTTCTACTCTCCAAATGCTTACTAGCAGGCAGCACTGCTACTGATCAGACCTAAACAAAAGGCTTCTCTGAGGAAGCCAAATCAGTCTTCCCATGCCCTACAGTCTCTTGTTTAGTCTTATAATTATCAAGAAATCCCATTTTACTTAATCTGGGTTAATGTATTTGTCAAAAGTAAATCCTCTCTCCCTGTCCATCATGAACAAACTCATATCAGCATTCTCATTTCAACAATTGAGATAGACGAACATGTTCCAAGTCTGTAAATACACAATTTTTTTCCTTTACCTGAGGACCTATTAACATAATTTTTACCCAAAACTTTACTAGATCTTAAAAAAATCAGCTCAGTCATGTCTTTTCCAAGGTCCCTGTGACATCACAGGATCAAATGGTTGCCCTATCTTTGTTTACACAGCATTATTTCCTTTCATTTACACCAATGGAAATGTGAAAAGATGAGTTCCCTTTTGAGGCTGTCAACTGTGTCTCACTCATTTCTGTATTACTGGAGCCTGTTATGTAGGTCTTTGAAAACACAAAACTAATAATTTTTATGAGGGATGCATTTACTATTAATATTTCAATACTCACCTAATACTTTTTCACTGGGATAAGTAAAAATACTTTGTACATGATAGCTGATTGTGGTGTCCTTTATTTAAAAATTGTGATCCAAATTGCAATAAAACATGACAGTTGTGCTTGTGATTAAAGCAGATTGTGGAGTCATTATGCCACGAGGTGCCTTGGGAGAGGTATTTCAGTCTGGCCAATTCTCCATCATACTTGAGAAAACCAACCAACTAAGAAACCCAGGTAATCAAACAAGATTCTGAATTTAGCACATATGTTCACTGAAATTTTCAGCCTTATGTATTTGAAATCTGAAATTCATCTATTTATGGAAGTTAAGTGATGACAAACTGAGTATGACTCATAGTGACCCTATGAACAAGTCTGAGCTCTGTCCTATATTTTCCTCCACACATTTGAGTCTGTATATTCACTGATACTATCAACTCTTCTCATTGAGAGGCTTACTTTCCTTCACCAACCCTTCACCTTTCCAAGCATGATGTCCATTTCCAAGGAATAGCCCCTCATAATATGTCCAATATATGTGAGATGGAGCTTTACCATCTATGCCTCCAAGGAGCACTGTGGTTGCACTTTATCCAAGACTTATCTCTTGTTTTGGCAGTCCATGGGATATTCTGCACTCTTCTCCAACACAACTCAAATGTCTTAAAGCATTCTTTGTTCAACTCTTATATGTGTAGCAGGTGATTGGAAAGATGTGACTTGAATTCAGGACTTTGGAGAGATCCCTGACAGCAGGGTTTCTCAATGCTCTGTCTTCTGATCTCCTAACTATTGATACCAAAGATGTTGATTGTGTATCTAAACAAGATGAAATCATTGACAAGCTAAATATTTTCTATCATGTTGCCTATTGGCCTAGTTGTAAGGATTTTTGTTTTCTTGATGTTGAGATGAAGGCTGTAATCCTTGATCCTCTGCAGCAAGTGCTTCAGATCCTCCTCACTGTCAGCAAGCAAGGTTGCTTTGTTTGCATAATGCAAGTTGTTGATGAACCTTCTCCCCCAAACCTGATGCTAAAATCTTGTAAAGTCCAGATTCTCTAAAGTTTTGCTCAACATACAAATTGGATAGGTATTGAGAGAAGATGCAGTCTTGACACAAACCTTTACTGATTTTAAACCATACGGTGTTCCTTTGTTCTGTTGAGACAGTTCCTGCTTAATTTATGTAAAGGTTTCCCGTGACCACAATTAAGTATTCTGGGATTCTCGTTCTTCTCAATGTTATCCATAATTTGTTATGATCCACACAGTCAAATGACTATATAGTCAAGAAAATACAAAAATCTTCCTGGTATTCTCTGCTTTCATGACAATGACTTCTGAACCAGAATGAATTTCTGACAATTCCCAGTTGATGTGCTGTTTCAGCCACTACAGAGTTGTACAACCATCAGCACAATCTTATTTCACAACATACTCATCCCCCAAAAGAGACACTCTAAACCTACCATCATTACTCTTTTCTCCCTAACCCCAACTCTGACTACCACTAGTTGCCCCTGCCCCATGGATACAGTATTTTATGTGACTATCCTTTTATCACATTTCCCAAGTTCATCCATGTTGCAGCATGTATCCACAATCCATTGTACAATATGTCATATTTTGTTTATCATTTCATCAGCTGATAGACATATTTCTACTTTTTACCTATTAATGCTGCCACAAATATTCAAGTATAGGTGTTTGAACATATATTTAATTATTCATGATAGATAGATATTTATTACGGTTGTGTGCTATCAAACAGGAACCTACTCAGAGCTGACCTACCCATGGGTTCTCAGAGGGTGTAAATAGCATAGGAGGAGACTGCTCATCTTTCTCTTGCAGAGCGTTTGGTAGATTGAAAGTACCTGCTTTTGGATCGAAACCCCAATTTATTACCAGTAGGTCACTAGATTATCTGGGAGGCTGGGCTCTATGAGGAGAAATGTGGGCTCAAGATTGGTGAACGATTTATCAACAATCTGCGTTATGCAGATGACACAACCCTGCTTGCTGAAACTGAGGAGGGCCTGAAACGCCTGCTTCAGAGGGTCAAGGACTGCAGCCTTCAATATGGACTGATGCTCAATGTCAGGAAGACAAAGATTCTCACCACTGGACCAATTGGCAGCATCAGGATGGA